TACTGTAGTGTTGTGGAGTACTGCGCCTGAAGGTGATGATGCGGCTAGATGTTACCATGGCAACCAGATGAAGCTTTTTTCATTTCCTCCATTCAAAAAGACAAACTACTACCCCCCCCAACTGACAACACGTCTACAAACCAATCAGAGTCAAGTACAGCTTGATGACGCCGTGATGTCGACAGGACGTACGAATGTCACACAGAATTCTTTAGTCCCTAAATTACAATGTGAAACTAAAAGTAACAGATCAAATCTCTCTCTCTCTCTCTCTCTCTCTCTCTCTCTCTCTCTCTCTCTCTCTGTGTGTGATCAGGGTGTGACCATCCCTAGTCAGCGGCGTTACGTCATCTACTACAGCTTCCTGTTGAGGAACCAGCTTCAGTATAAACCTGTGGCTCTGCTCTTCCACAAGATGCTGTTTGAAACGATCCCAATGTTCACAGCTGGAACCTGCAGTAAGTCACTCCTTCACTCCTTCACTCACACACTCCTTCACTCGTTCACTCGTTCACTCACACACTCCTTTACTCACTCATCCACTCGTTCACTCTGATGTCTCTCTCTCAGATCCTCAGTTTGTCGTTTACCAGCTGAAGGTGAAGATTCACACCTCTAACCCCGCCCACACTCGGCGGGAAGACAAAGTGATGCTGTTTGAGTTCCCGCAGCCACTTCCTGTCTGTGGAGACATCAAGGTGGACTTCTTCCACAAGCAGAACAAGATGATGAAGAAGGTCAGGACACACACGCACACACGCACACACACACACACACACACACACTCACTCATCACAACATAACACTCACTACCTGTTGTCCCAAGTGAATTCATAGATAATTACTGCCTGAATGATGATGAACAACCTGAGCGATAAATCCTAAAGAAGAGTTTGATCACATGACAGGAAGCCAGTTCATAAGTCATATTTATATCTACACCTCTCTGGGGATCTAAGTGAACTTCGACCTGTTTGCCCTCCAGGAAAAGATGTTTCACTTCTGGGTCAACACCTTCTTCATCCCGGGGCCGGAGGAGAACACGGACAAACTGGAGAACGGCAGCACCGGGATGCTGCGGGAACTGGCCGACAGAACGCACCAGAACCTGGCAATGACGATGGCGAGTGTGACAAAGGGAGGAGAAACCAACGACAGGGAATATCTGATCCTCACGCTGATCAAGAACGACCTGGACAAGGCCAACAAAGACAAGGCCAACAGGAACTTCTCCCCCAACTTCAAGGTATCATTGACCCCTTGTAAAAAAAAAATGGAACTAAAATATCCCTGATTATGGCACAACCATCTTGTTCTGGTGACGTCATTTGCCGGTTATTGGCTCTGAAGTCTTCAGTCTCTGTTCTCCTGCTTTAGGTGAAGCTGTTCTTTACCAAGACGGTGGAGGAAGGAGCTAACTGTGACACGAGCAGCACGTCGACCTCAGTGACCCCGGACGTCAGCGACAACGAACCCGATCACTACCGCTACTCTGACACAACGGACTCTGACCCCGAGAACGAGCCGTTCGAAGAGGACCACAACAATTAGAAGACAAAAGTCTGACACACACTCATACACACATATATACGTGTGTATATACACACATATACACAGTATGTACATATATATACATATATATGTACATATATATGTACACACATGAATCCTTGAGTAAGACTAGCGCATTGTTAGCTTATGGGGAATATAACTGACCAGAACTGATCAGTGGGACTCGGATCAAATGATAAACCACGCCCACCTCCCCCACCTCCAATCTTCTGCTAGGTCCACACCTGGACAATCACATGACATGGGGGTCGGTGGTGAGGACAGCGAATGGACAATAAGACAGATGAATGGACAGAGAGTTAAAGGGGTAAAACTTGAATATAAACAAACCAAGAGACGAATAGATTTCTTTAGTGACGACAACAAGATGAGAAAGAAAGAAGATAAATCCCGAGCCCCCATGTGTCCTTCCTTCCTTCTTTCCTTCCCTCCTTCCTAACCAGTTTTAGGAAGCTTCTTGCAGAACAGTCTTTTGTTGGTCTCTGCCCTTTTCGGTTTTATTAAGCTGTCAGAGTTGACTCTTCTCTCTGTGTGCTAACTTCAACATGGGGAGTGTGGTTCCATGTGTTTTGAAGGCCAGTACTCTTATGTTTGAATGTCGGCAAAGTGAAACCTGTGATCACTGATTCATATAAAATTAGACAGAACACCCAACTTGATTAAATCTGATATAGGTGGAGACGAAAATTACAGCATCATTTTGTTATAAAAAGAGAATATTGGCTCAACAGTAATCAACCAAAGTTGAAGTTTTTCACCCTGGTCTTCAAAAGTCCTCCTCACAAAGAACAAGACTGGACCGAGTTTGAATCCGTCAGTCTGAGCTGGTTCAGGACTGTTCTGGATCTGAGCTTATGGAGACCAGGAAGTATGACTTGGACTCCTCCCATTTGGGTCTTACGTTTTTGACTCCTTTGAGTAAATTGAGTCCAGACCGGCCTGGACTGGACTTGGTTCTGGTCTAGACCCAGTTTGAACCGGTCTCACTTGGACTGAATTAGATTCGTAAAGAAGCAGCATACACAGAGAAGTGACAACCTTTTGTTTGAATGTGACAATGAAGAAGAGAAACTTGGATTATTCACAATCTGCTGCACTTCTGTCAATCATCCACTGTTAAAACCACATACAGTTCAAACCTACTGTGAACAAACGCTCCTCTGATCGTCTCTGTCCACAGATTTGCACAGAATGATTCTCTTCAGCTCTTCAATCACTTCTACAGTTACAGAAAAACTATTTTTGTTATACTCTCATATCAATCATTAAGCTAAACAAACACGTTATAACCATTCCTTCAGCCAGATCTGCTGTTGAGCTTTACAACTATGTGAGCTACAAACTAAAGCAGAAATCTACAACAACAGAGTGCTTACTTTTGAAGTGCCTGGGTGCCAGGCGGGGGGGGGTTGCACTTTATAAAGGACGATTGAGTTTGTAAGTACTTCTGGACACGGTCAATCCATCCTAGAAAGCCGATTATGCCTCGTTCCCACTACATGATTGTTCGCCAGATTTTCCACTTGATGACAAGTATTTGGAACTTGCAGACAAAAGCCCCTGATCGCAGCCAAATTGGTGTTTGATCAGCAGCTGCTATGTGTGGACTCTTCATAGATGTGATTCAAGAGGCTCCCTGGGACTAGATTTCTAGCAGCGTAACATTGACACAAACCGGCGACAGAGCAGAGCAGACATGCTAGTCGGGGTTTCTCCTGTTGAAAGACGGTGTATCGTGGGACCCCGTCACGTCAGTTGCATAGTATGAAATCACAAGACTCCCAATCACAAGACATCGAGTCATGTAGTGTGATGTGCACAGCAATCCTGAGTTCTGTTGCACTGAAAGATCCAGTCCTTTTGTAAAGCTGCTGTTCGGGAGGTTTTAACGCAGAGTTCCTCAACTTTGGCATCAGGACCCAGCATGGGTTTGTCGTAGATTCTCACAACCACAGTTGTTGAGAGTCAAGTCAAGGTTTGGCCTCTGTGTGTCTTTGGATTTTGACATTTCAATAAGGTTGTCACTCTGTAATTATTACTCTGTTTGTAGACTATTAATCTTTGTCTTCGCCATGACTTTGTCCAAACATTTAAGCGCCTACATTCTTTCAAACTGAACCTTTAATGCCAAGGATGACAGTTTGAGGATCACATTACCATTACTACAGAAGCACGTCAGGGATTCTCAGATCAGTATCTCTTAAATCACCGATTTAATTTCATCAGAATGAAACTATCCAAAACTAATCTCCAGTTAGTTTGTATTCTTCAGGCTCTTCTGGATGTTAAGGTTTGTCTTTTCATGCCACAAGCTATTTTTCAGTTTTTCTCAAAATAGTTGGGAAGCTTCTGGATGTGCACCTTCTTATTGTTCTATGGTTTGTTGGCTTCACATAAGTTGTGATTTTTCTAATGCAAAACATTTAGACAGCAGCCAAGAAAACCTGTAAATAATATCAGTCCACTCAGTCGATCAGAGAATCCCTTAGTGTCTGAAACAGCATCTGCCTCCAGAGGCCTGATCTCCGTCCTTACGTTTGGTGCTACAACCAAATCATCAGCCCTTCGATTGTTCTTCTTTGGGCCGAGCTGGGACTCAAGGTTCCTGATGTCTGTAGGCCCTGATCACACAGGACGCACTCTGGAAGCTGACACATGAAGTCCACAACACTTATTGTAGAATCATTGAAGGCAGAAGTTCTGACTGTGGCCCACAGGATGATGTTTGGATAGGACACATTTCCCAGAACAATACCCGACCTCAAAGAATCAACAACTCATTGCGGGACACAGAAATTTCAATGAAGTTACGATCCAGTCTCGAAGCCAATCAGAGTATTTCAGGTTGGAATAAGAAAGGGATTGCCTCTGTGCCAGAGGCTGAAAAACAACAAGCATAGATGTGATGTTTCCAGACGTTCAGTGTGATTCAGATCCTGGATCACAGGACTTGTAGAAAAAGTGGCTGGTGCTGATTAAACTGCGTCTTGTGTGATCATATCTTGTTCAGCCGTGTGTTACCAGCAAACTGGTGCTTTGAGCTGTAGTTGTTGGGCCCGTAGTCCACCATGTTGGGTTTTAGGTGCTAAGTTTATCTAACCAGAGCTGATGCCGTTGTCCATCTGTGGTGCTTTGTGTCCAGAGCGTGTTTTCGTCCAGTCTTCATCTATCTGCAGGTTGTTTGTGTAGCTGCCAAAGGTTTTCAGCAACAATAACACAACTTCTGCTGGGTTCTGTTAGGCGTGACCTCACCTCCTGCCATCAACCCGTTCAGACATGACTGGTGTGTAGACCTGTTCAGCAGAGCAGCTTAAAACCTGAACTTACTGATCCAAAAAAACGATAACTTTCACAGTATCATAATGCAATAACAACCATTTCCATTCAGCGTTGTAATGTTGTGGTGTTCAGCCCAAATATGGCAAATAAAATGGCTGGTTCATCATTGTGTTCGTAGATGGTATCGTGGGTAACTTTGGGACACTGATGAGTTGAAAATGTGTTTCGTGAAACGACTCTAACCTGCTGAACGTTGGTGCTACACTGAACACTGCGTGAACTGAACAGGTTTTGGGGATTTTGAGGTCAGGCAGGTGTCGTCCACGTCTCTCGACTGTTTCTGGTGCTCCATGTCTTTATCTTAGGACCACAACAGCTGTGTCAAATCCATCTAGGAACTTTGGACAGAAAATATTTTGTAGGTTAACCAGGGTCGATCCTCAAACATTGTATTCTGTTTAAAAATGATCTGTTTTTGATGGACGTCTATGGTTCCTGTACCGAAACAGAAAGTCAGAAAGGAAAAAAAAAAGAGGAAGTGACCAAAACTTAGAAAAGGTTCTTTACCAAAATTGTTGATTTAAAACCCTGAACCTTAAACACTGAACTTAGCGAATAATATTCTGAATGTGTCCGTCTGCAGATCTGTAAAGGAACCTTAAACTCACACCAGGATCTAACCTTTAACCTCCAATAATCAGAATTAACTCAAGTTTGACACAATCCAGTCAGTGAGAACGTTTCTTTGTTTTGTCTGTTGAGCTGATGAGACAATGCTTCAGCTCCTTCTTTACATCTCATCACCAAACCTGCCAGACGAAGCTCAGACTGATGTTTTTATGTTGATGAGGTGAACTTGATCTGTTCTTTCTTTGTGTAGCCTTAAGGTGCCGTCACATTAGTCCTCCGGTCAACAGACCTGCTCCGCACATTCAGACTAGTACAGGACATGACGTCAGGATCATCTGTTGGTTTCTGCATTTCAAAACCAGAGTGTTTGTATTGGCTGAGAAATGCTAATTCAAAAATAACAGTTCACAATTGAATTTGTCTTTTTTGTTTTTTGAACAAGAGCGTGTTCAGGATGGAGGCGTCATGTGACAACACCTTCAAGGTTTTCTGTGTCTCAAGAGTCGGGGTTACAAACCACATCTGTCTATGAGAGGTCAGAGGTCAACATCAGGCAGAAGATGAAGACATTATGTGCAGGTGTTGGACATCAACAGCCTAAAATGTTTTTTAACACATTCATACAAAAAGCTGAACGTCTCCACGAGGACAGACGTCGTCAACACTAGAATTCAACAACAACCAACATGTTTCATTAAATTTAACAACTACTTGATCTTCACTTGACAAAACAATTTCATTCATTGACATTTGAGTTTTATCAATGTCTGCTAGCTAGATAATAAGCTAACCTTAGCTACGTGAGTCTGTGAAAGAAATGTCTGCTGACGTTTTAATTTAATCTCATTTCAAGAACAAACACTTGGTAAAAAGTAATAACAGTATGGACACATGTATGATATCATGAGAACATCCTAACGCTAAAGCTAATCGCTAAGAGGTCCCAGATCCATGTGAATATGCTAAGGCTCAAGCTAACAGTTCTCAGATCATGCTAGAGTGCTGAGGCTAAAGCTAGCTGGTTCTGGGTAAGAGATGATCTGTGTAGACGTCATAGAAACATCACTTCGTCCCTTTCATTAAAGTTTGAACAATAGAAACGTTAAATCTTTTAAAGTAACTCCGTAAACTAGTTTGTATCTTCACGTTAACTGAACCGTGTTTGTGACATTGTACGTAGCCTGTGTTAAAAAAAATCTGTTCAACATTTTCACCTGGGAAAAAAATCCAACAGAAATTAAAGAGAAACTTGTACCTGGGTTTAAGTTTCTGAGTAGAATCAACATTGATCGGTATGGATGAGTATTAATTAGCATTGATTAATGATTGTGGTGACAGATGTGGTTTTGTCGTCTCGTTTCGTGTTCACTGTTTCGGTTTGTCATCATGATGGTGTTTTTATTTATCAGGTTATTTTATCACACAAATGTCTTTATAACTTCTGACCTGTATCACCTTGGAAACATTCCAAGTGAAACTGACCCCCCCCACAGTTCTTTTATTCTGCCCTTTACCCCCCGTTTTATAATGAAATAAAACACTGTAAAGGTGAATAAACTATTTATAAACAACATTTCATTGATACTGTTGGTTTTAAAGGTCAAACAAATGTTTTTAAGTTTGTACAACAGGTTACAACTGTTATCCATCAGTGACTTGGCAGAAATGATCATCTTTTCACCCACAATGCACTGCTGCAGCAAGACTGAGCACTCCAGAACAACTGGAGAACAGGCCGGAAAGATTAGGACACACACACATTGAACCATAACTAATTCTGTCTTATCTGCTGCATTAAAGAATCAAAGGAAGCATCAGCCAATCAAAGGTCATAGTCGTGACAAGTTTATCTCCACACGTGATGAATTCATCTTCAGCTGATCATGTTAAAACCACGACTTACTGACATTTACACTGTTCTCCTGAATCTAAAATGGTTTTTTTCCAAGAAGACGTACATGTATGTACAGGACATAGAACGATTGAAATGCTGCTTCTCCCTGATCCCCGGTGTAAAAATAGACAGCACATATAAATACGCAACATATTAAGTACTCAAATTAGTATATCATGTGTCATAGTACAACGTAGTATACAGTCAAAAGGCATACATGGATTGGATGAGAGTAATGCAAACCAGAACAGGCAAAAACGGATTGAGTGTAAAATACTTCATGGAAGGTAATGTACATGCACAGCATGTAGTAAAAAGCAGTTGTAGTATGATGAGCAGCATTTACAGTAAAAACAAGGAAGGTGTATGTTCTCATTGATTCAGTAACTGTTCTAGTTGTTTGGAGGTGGGTTGGGTGATGATGTGGGGGGGGGGGCATATTGATCAGTATCAGTTGATCAGAAAATGTTTGAGCTCAAGAAACAGTGAAACAAGAATATACCACAGGCTCCGCCCACTGACATCATCACCGTTGCTATGATCACGCCTGGCGAAGTTTTCCAGCCTCTAAATCAGACGTTTGTAAAACATGACGCGGACGCCCACATGCTTTTCCTGATTGGTTCTTTCACTGCCAGTAATCAATGTCTGTGTCAGAGCTGCTGCAGGTCGAACAAACATCTGAAAATAAAATAATCAAATTCAAATTCGATCAGAAATTTATTGAAAGACAAAAAACATTGAATGGAACATTTGATGAAAATTGAATTAACTATCGAGTATTGATCAGGTATCAGTTAGCTCTTCCTGTCGGTGTCAGCGAGGCCTTCAGCACACTGAGCATGCTCAATGCAGACTCCACGCAGCCATCGAAGTTGGAGTGACTGAACGCATCGCCACCACAGATGAGGAGGGGTTGGTCGAGGATGATCATGTGACCCGGACAGTCCGGCACAGAGGTCAGCACCTGCAGAAGGAACGAGGGAATCATGACTCAAGCGCTCCCATGCTCCGATGACTTCAGGGTCAGTGGCCGAGGTGGCAAAAGTACTCACATTCGTTGCTAAGAAATTATAGGCTCTGAAATGAACTTAAGTACAAAAGTAAAAATATATTTTTAACTTCAATGATACACGAAGCCTCTTTTGATAACTCTGCAAAATGAAAAAAGTTGTCAGCAAACAAAACAGGGTAGTTTCCTCTTGTGAACAACCTCCAGAGAAACAAAATCACTGGACACAGTCTGGTTCTGAAGTGAACGAGGTCCTGCACCTGGGTCGGTCTGTACAGGGAATAAATGGATAGAGAATGTTCTGGCCTTGATTAAGTTCCTGCCCTTTGTACACACCACCCGTACTACCATAGATTGGAGGGTCTACTGAGGTCCTTGGATCGGCCCCGTATTTGTACTTCATTACTTCCCACCTCTGCAGTGAGTCAGTGGAATTTCTCAGACTAACCTGGGAGTACCGCCACTTCTGACACTTGATGCTGATTGGCTGAGGCAGGTCAGGGAGCAGCTTGCTGAGCTCCAGTAAGATGATTGGCTGCACATCCTCCTTGTCTCGTTCCAAGTGCTCCAGGCCAAAAGGAACGCTAGTGTGGACGACGAGGGATGGACCTCGGCCGGAAGCATCTAAGGTTCACAGACATGGTCAGTGCGTCACCTCTCTGAGACGCTGTGGCGTGACAGCCAATCAGCATCGAGATTCTCCTGACATCAGTGAGAATCAAACATGGAGGACATGGAGGTGTCAACCAGGTGAGTTCTGGCGACATTAGCATTAGCTGCTGCTAGTCTATGACATCACTAACTGAAGAGGTCAAAGGTCAGTTTGGTCTGAACATTATAAAGTACACAGGCAGACAGACAGGTGAAGACAGCTGAGCAGACAGACAGGAGAAGACAGCTGAGCAGACAGACCTGTGTTGCGTTTGCGGTCGTCCACAGCGATGTAGCAGATGCAGGAGTTGTTGGTGACGTATCGAACCGCCCACGGGAAACTGAAGACAACGTCAGGAGGGAAGAAGAGAGCGACGGCGAAACGAGACGAGTACACGACCCCGTCTAACTGCCGTCTCTGCTGGACGGACAGCACTGAGAGACAGGCAGAGAGAGTCAGACTCTGTCCAACTGCATGATGGGAAATGTATGGTCCAGTGTTGCTGAATGAATCCTTTACTGATACATTTTAAACTGTTCAATCTATTTGTTTACATTTGATTTAATGAGGTCAAAGTTCATCATGAATTATATTTATATGTTCTTCACTTGATTCCGTTCATATTCTTTATTTTCTATATTGATTCTACCAGAGGAAATAAAACAGTCTGCAAGAACAGATGCACGCACGCGCACACACACACGCACACACTAATTGACATTATCAATTAACCTGTGACTGATCCCAGTCATTGACATGAGTGAGAATCAATAAATATATCACTGATAAAATCAATAATATTAATTATAACTGAAATCGCAGCTGTTGACACTTCCATCTGACTCTTCTGCCCCCATGTGGTGAAACCATGTTACTGCAGCTACACTGAGTTGCTCACAGGAAATGATATCATAACGCCATCACTCAACCAGGAAGTCAGATGTTTAACATGTTTCAGTGCAGCAGCAACACCATGGTTATATTCAAATAAAACGTTATTGTTTTTATCATCTTCAGATGCTGCGACAGTTAAATTTAGTGTTAATCAATACAAAGCTGATCATAAACCAATAACATACATTACAAAATCCATAACACTCATCTAACTTTATATAAAATCTGTGATGAACAATTTCACAGTGATCTCCGGTGTCAAATAATCTCTGTCCACACAAACACACACATCACGAGTCATGTGACCGATTAGAACCAATCAGAAGAGATCGTGGGCGTCATCGTTCACAAAAGTCTCAGTTTCTGTTCAGACTAAAACACATCCCCAGAGTTTTCAAACCAAATGAGACCAGCAGAGTTTACAGCTGCTCGCTCAGAGACTCACATTGTCCCACGTCTCCCTGCAGCTGCAGGATCTGAGGCACCGGCATCGTCAAGACGACGGCATCAAACGTCTCGCTGGCTCCCTCCTTCCTCTCCACCTCCCATGATGCACCGCAGCGGTACACGCCGGTCACATGATGCTCGAAGAACAAATCAGCTCCTGACAGAAACAACATAGACACACATGATAGTGAACACGTGAAAGAGACAGACAGGTGGACAGACAGGTGGGCGTGTACCTGACTCAGACAGGAAGTGTTTGACCACACTGCACATGCCCAGTGGCGTCACGTAGTTCCTGTCGTCGTCTTTGTGCTTCATTCCTTCAACCTGAGCGAGAAGAGGCTGCAGGACGCCAGAGGACAAGAGCTCTGAGTAGAAACTACACACACACACACACACACACACACACACACACACACACACACACGCACACACACGCACACGCACAAAGTGAGGGTTTCACAATAAAAGCCTACTTGGTTATGTTCCATGGCATGTCGTACCTGTGGTGTGACTGAGCGTAGGCCGATGTGGCCGTGATGTACTGAGCTCCAAGATCAGCTGAGTGAGACAAATGGTCTGGAGGACGAGTGGTGGACATTCTGCCTCCTGAGAGAGACAAAGAGACAGATATTACAGATGACATGTGATTACTGACATGTGGTTATTGATTATTACAGTTGACATGTTTGTTCTCAGCTCTTGTTTCTACTCAGACTTTGACCAGAAGATTTCAATTACACAGATTTGATTTAAGTTACATTCTTTGATCTTTTTCAAGCTGAATGTGATGAGAACATTTTTCTGATATTGAATCTGATGTCACTGGTGTTCAACAGTGATATTCTGTTCAGTTCAATGTAGTAAATGATTAAATAATCACATTTCTGAATGGAGGTTTGGGCTGAAGCTGGTTTCAGACAGACTTGACCTCTGACAGACTTGACCTCTGACCTCTGACAGACTTGATCTCTGAGCTGGTTCACAGGAACTTGAAGTCATTTGATTTGTTACAGACTTGTTGTGTTTTAAACTCACCTGAACCTCTGGCTTTGTCCCACACCACGATGTGAACCTTATTCTGAAGCTCTCTCCTCAGCAGACACGCGCACACGCTTCCTGTCAGACCCGCACCAACGATCAACACCCGAGACATTTTATCCCGGGTTAACTTCCACTGGGCTCAAACCCGGGTTAACTTCCACTGGGCTCAAACCCGGGTTAACTTCCACTGGGCTCAAANCCCGGGTTAACTTCCACTGGGCTCAAACCCGGGTTAACTTCCACTGGGCTCAAACCCGGGTTAACTTCCACTGGGCTCAAATCCGGGTTAACTTCCACCGAGTTGAACCGGAAGCGGAAGTCGAAGCTCTATTATAAAACCACCAGAGAGGAAGAACAAACAAAAACTATCCCGGACTCTGAGAGAAACATCCGGCTGACACTTTCACAATAAACGTATTATCGCCTCCAAATAAATCAGCAAGTAAAATCACTGCAATGTATAAATGTATTTATAGTTAAATTATTTTACGTATCAACCTGTCAAACTCTGTTTATTCAACTTTAAGATTAAGATTCCTTTTTATTGTTTTATTGTTTTACACATCTGCTTCTAGGAAACATGATATATTATAAATATTATTCCAAATACCATATGTAACATTTCTTATATTAAACAGTTCATGTCACAGTTTTTTATATTTTGATGTTGTTGTTTTTGTATTAATTATTAGAGATGTTTATAAATCAGATTTGTGTGTTCTGTGACAGGCTGAACTTTTATTTTGAAGGGCTCGCTTTTGGAAACGTTACAAAAAATAATCAAGCAAACCTTTAAAAATCTTCTTTTATAGCTGAATATGTTGTAGATGGTTGTTTTATTTCATGAGTATCGTCATCACATCACGTAATTATTTTTTAAATTTAAATTGAATGTTTGTTTTTTAACAGGATCAGCAGCTCTTTGTCTTCTGTTCCCTTCCCGATCAGTGTTCGGTTTCTGTTTCCGGTCTGTGATGATTCGATCAGGGAGAAAATTCAATCAGAAATATTCGTTGATCGATTTATAGAAAACAAAGGGTTCATATAACCTGAGTCTGACCAATCACAGCGAGGCTCTTCTTGTGACGTCGCTTCTGTACTTTCGGGACGACGGTGAGAGAGTTCAGTTCGTGAGAGATCATCGGAGCGCGCGGACAGGTGAGAAGTTTATGAACTAGTTATTAACTGTTAGAATCTCATGAACCTCCGGTTTAAACAGAAGTGAAACAAACATCAGATGATTGTATCTGTGTGTGTGTGTGTGTGTGTGTGTGTGTGTGTGTTCACACAGACAATGTTGTGTGTTGTGGTGTGTGTGCTCTTCCTCTCTGGTCTCGTGCACAGTGGACCGACTCAGCTCCACCGATGCTCTGGGATCCCACATCTGGAGCTGGACCCTGAAGTTCACATGAACATTGTAAGAACACGCTAACTGTCAGTCATGGTTACTTAGGTAACCAGCAGCTAACGTAACAGTTAACCTTTCTACCACAAAATAAAACAGCTTCATTGGCCTCAAATTATTAGCGATTTTTTCTAAATATTTATTTTGAAATGTCACATTTCTCTAAATCTTTGACTCTTATTGTGAAGTCCGCACTGTCTGACCTTTGACCGGGTGATATCAGATGACATCATCGATCAGTAATGACTCAGAGGTCAAACTAACCCTAACCTCCTGTTCTTTTGAAAAAGAAAAGCTGAGTTGTAGAGCTGAAAGTAAATAAAACTTCTTTTACACACACACACACTTCTGACTTAGTTCAACCCTCAGTTCAGTCTGACTGGAAGTTTGTCTTTAATGATGATGTCACTGTTCAGACAGAGATCATCAGACGGTGGAGTTACCCTGCAGAGGAACACGAGGTTCTGACGGAGGACGGGTTCATCCTGATGGTGAACAGGATCCCAAACGGATTGAAACACGCTGCAGGTCAGACTCGACACACACACACACACACACAGTAAAAGAGAGGATGTTTTTTCTGTGGTTAAAAAGTCTGAGGAGGAAAAAGAAGCTGAAACATCAGAACTTCACTTCCTGTTTCTTTAAACAGTTGAACTGGTGATGGTCATGTGACACAGTTACAATAACCAGTCCTTCAAAATACAAAGTCAGAGGAGGAATCAGATCAAATCAAACATGTCAGAATCATATTTTATGCTTTATGTTCTGCAGGCTCGAGGCCGGCGGTCTTGCTCCAGCATGGCCTCCTCGCCGCCGGAAGTAACTGGATCACCAACCCGCCAAACTCCAGTTTGGGATACGTGCTGGCGGACGCCGGGTACGACGTTTGGCTCGGAAACAGCCGAGGAAACACGTGGTCCAGGAAACACCGGACGTTACGACCAGACCAGGACGAGTTCTGGAGGTTCAGGTACACAATAGCTGTGTGACATCACTATCTACCTGTATGACATCACAACACCTGTGTGACATCATCATCCTCCTCCTGTGTGTGTGTGTGTGTGTGTGTGTGTTTGTGTAGTCATGATGAAATGGCTCTGAAGGATCTTCCCGCTGTTGTAAACTACATCCTGAAGGTGACGGGACAAGAACAGATCTACTACATCGGCCACTCTCAAGGAACCACTATAGGTAACACACACACACACACACACACACACACACACACACACACACCTGTCTCTGCTTACATCACTGTAACAGTCTCTTATTTCCCAGCATTCATGGCGTTCTCCACGCTCCCTGAACTGGCAAGTAAGATAAGACTGTTCATCGGTTTGGCCCCCGTTGCGACCGTCGCTTTCACCAGCAGCCCCATGACCAAACTGTCCGTCCTGCCAGAGTCAGTCATCTGGGTGAGACCCGACCACCTGTGATACACCGTCAATCACCTGTTAACCATGGCACATGATGATGTATTTATTGTGTTGATGATGACCTGCTGTCGCCCCCTGCAGGCTTTGTTTGGTAGTCAGAACTTCCTGCCTCAGAGTCACATGATCGAGTGGTTTGCTGAGCACGTGTGTGGGAAGCAGCCGCTCAGTGAGCTGTGTGGAAACCTCTTCTTCATCCTTTGTGGCTTTGATGAGAAAAACCTCAACATGGTTAGTAAGAGACCTCACATGATCAGGTCACATGATCCAGGTCACATGATCCAGATCACATGATCAGGTCACATGCGTAACATGATTCTGTTCATCTGCAGACTCGGACTCCGGTTTACACAACACACTGTCCTGCTGGGACTTCAGTCCAGAACATGGTGCACTGGGCCCAGGTAACACACACACGCACGCACACACACACACACACAC